AAAAAAAATCTCTCTCTTTTGGATGCTTTTATGGATATATGAGTCACCTCATCCAACTGCCCATACGTTTTATATATCTTTTATCCTAGTTTTCTGAATTAATATTGGGAGAAGTGAACTGTCGATTGAAAGTCACTGGAAATGTCCATAGTGGCTGGCACAGGTTTCCCAAATATACTTTCTTTCAACTTTAAATAATGGTGTGGTAGGAAATGAGAAATAAAATATCCAAAGCCAAAAGCCTGGGTACAAGGACAAATGACTTTAATAAAAACTCCTTACTTTTTTCCACACATCCCTCCCCCAACTTAGCTGACCAAATAAATTTACAAGACGCGGTGAACATGTATTGATTGACAATAAACACTTGCATTAAATATTCACTCTACTTCTCTTACCTGATAAATATTTAACCAAACATTTAAAAACAAAAAAACCAGGCTTCTGGTTCTTTATCAGTCCTCATCTTAAATCATTGCTTCTTCATTTTGAGCTGGCCTTTTTCATACCGAGCTTACTCAGATCTTTAATCTAGGCCTCACTGGACTCCAGTTTTATACTTCCATCTCTGACAAAACTTTTCAAGTTTATACTCCACCACTCCACCACTCCCCCGTGGCTGCCAAAGGATATTTCCTTACGACGTCTGCCTACCTGCTAGAGCAACCAGGTGATCCATCAATGGGGAAGGCCAGGGGCTAATTGCTCCCTCCCTTCTGCCTGTCCCCTACCCTCCTGGGCAAGAGACACAGCGAATGCGGATGCTAGCCTAGCCCCACTCCCAAATGGAGACCTTGAGAAATATTTGAAAAACTTACTGAAGAATCTTTATCCTCTCCTCTGAGCTTCTAGTAATTCAATCCCCATTAAAGGGGGGGGGGAAGGAAAAGGGAGGGGGGGAGAGAAATAATCCAGCACTTAAAATATGACTAGCATGGGAAAGGAACACACATGCGAGGGGGAGATTACAGTCAAAGCCTCGGGTAGACCCTCCCTCCCACCCCCTCACTCCCACGCGGCTACCCCACATCGGAGTCCCCCCCCCCACGCCTCGTCCCCGAAACCACCGAAAGCCAGATCCAAAGGGGAGAGGAAGAGGAAGAGAGAACTTCCTCAGCCATCCCTCGGCCCCGTCTGCTCTGAGCCCTGACCGAGGGGTGTGCCTGGCAGGAAAACGAATGCAAGTCTGCGATTGATTTTCATAATGTTTCTGCGGTGTTTGAAAACCAATCGTTTGAACCTCCGCGATCGTACCTAGGGCGAACCACTCCTACGCTTGCTTCCAAGGGCTCCCAAACTGATATATGGCAATATCTACTTTGGATCACGTGTCCCGGAGAGCGCGACTCAGACGGATCGCGCGTCATCTCGCCTTCCCAAATTTTTCCCCCTCTGCACCTCGGATCCCCAACCTCTATCTATAGGAGCGGGAAAAGGAGGAAGGAAGATGTTTAACTCGGTCAACCTCGGAAACTTCTGCTCCCAGTCGCGCAAGGAGCGGAGCGGCGACTTCGGGGAGCGCGCAGGTTGCGCGGCTTCCAACCTCTACCTGCCCAGCTGCACCTATTACGTCCCCGAATTTTCCACCGTCTCCTCCTTCCTGCCCCAGGCCCCGTCTCGCCAGATCTCCTACCCTTACTCCGCCAACCTCTCCCAGGTGCCGCCCGTCCGCGAGGTCTCCTACGGGCTGGACCCCTCGAATAAATGGCACCCTAGGAGCGGCTACGCCTCGTGCTACTCCGCCGAGGAGCTGATGCACCGGGACTGCCTCCCGCCGTCCACCATGACCGAGATGCTGATGAAAAACGAGAGCGCCTACGGCCACCACCACCCCACCCCCGGCGGCAACCCCCCGCCGCCCACCGGCTTCTACTCCGGCGTGAACAAAAACAGCGTCCTGCCGCAGGGCTTCGACCGCTTCTTCGAGAACGCCTACTGCTCGGCCGAGACCCCGCTGGAGGGCTGCCCGCAGAAGGCGCAGAGCAAGCTGGAGAGCGACCCCGCCGCCGCCGCCGCCGCCACCGAGCCCGCCGCCCTGTCATCCCGCGGCGAGCAGGGCGTCGACCCGGAGGACGAGGAGGACGGCACCCACCCGGGCTCCTCAGCCTCCTCTTCCTCGGCCAACAAGGACGCCGGCGGCAAAGCCAGCAGCGCCAGTAGGTAGCCCTGGGAGCAGGAGTAGGAGCTGGAGTAGGAGCTGGAGTAGGAGCTGGAGTAGGAGCGAGCGAGCGCCGGGGCCGTAAATGGGGAAAGGTGAAGGGAGACAAGCCGGCTGTTTTGTCGGCCAGGTTTTATGTGGAGTTTTATAAGCATTCAAAGGGATTTTATGATAAGCTGCAAAGCCGGGGTCTTTGCAACGGGGAGGCACGTTTACGATGGGAAGCGGCTCTCTGGGCAGAGAGAGCGAGGGAGACGGGAGGCGCAGACCCCCAGGGGCCCCCACCGGTCGGGGGAGATTTGAAAAGCCCACCGAGGGTGACAAATATTAACTTTGATCGTGAACTTACAGGGCCCTTTTGAAAGGGGGATTGTGGTGCCGGGCTTTTTAGAGGGGGGTAGGACAAGGCTTGGGTTTCCCCCCACCACCCACCCGCGAAAGAGGCAGGCGGGGTAAGAGGCAGCGGGCGAGGTGGTGTTGTGGTTATGACTGTAACGATTAAAAATACATGTGCGCTCTGCCCGGGTGTGTAAACGTCGGGGAGAGCAACCCCTTCGCGTCAGGAGCACGAGCTGGGTTTGTTTTGCTTGCAAGATGTCGTGGGTCTTTCTCCAAGCCCCGGCCAAATTCCCTTTTTAATTTGTTTGTGCAGTTTTTACTTTGCTCCTGAAAGTATTTTGCTGACATCTGAAATCACACATACACACATACACACACAGAGAGAGAGAGAGACACGCAGGCGCCCCCCCCCCCCAGAAACAGACACAGGACATCTCAGAGACCCTACACGCTCTTTCCAACACCCCCGCACACACACACACACCCCGCACCCTCGCACCAGGCATTCATTTATGGTCCTTCTTTGAAAAACGTGGATCGAAGCAATTGATCAGACATGTGTCCTTATGCCATCGATTTTCATTCATAACAACTGAATGGGAGGGTAAAATATTGCAGGAACTGCCTGCGCGCGTCCGGGTTTTATTTGCCACTCGAGTGCCCGAGGGGGGGGGGAGTGTTTCCTTTCTGCCCTGTTCTTGGGTGGGGATTCGGTTTAGATGCGTGGCTTTGATTTTCTTTGTGCGTGACAACGTGCGGGTTGAGGATCCGCGGAGGGTGGCACTCCAGTTAACCAGAAGCATAAGCAGAGCGCCTGGTCTACTTCTGCTCCACCCGGAGCCGGTGCCGGTGCTGAACGGGGCAA